AAAGAGGGGTTTAGACGTGTGAAAGGAGAGTGGTCTGCAGAAGCCCTAGTGCCACAGAGAAAAGGCCATGGTAAAGGCAGGCAAAGGGGAGGAAATGTCTTTGGCCAGTGGAAGCAGGAAGGGCCCAGGATAACCACCCAGCTCTCCAGGGAAGCCTGTGCCAGACTGGGAGCTCTCCTCTCTGGCCAGAGTCATGCCAACCCAGGCTCTCCTGCCCATGCTTCTCCTCTCTGTGCTGCTGCTACAGGCCCAGGGAGGGCACCGTAAACTGAACGGGATGCAGGGTAGGTGATGGACTAAGGGGGTGGGGAGGGAAGGGGGCAAGAGGTGCTGTGTCGCTTCTGGGGAGGACCTGGAAACTGGAACTTTTCAGCGCATCCTGCTCTGACTACAGCACTATGAAGACTCTGGGTCGTCCAAAGTCATGGCCCTCTGGCCCCTTTACCCCGCACTGGGAACAATAATGGGGGATAAAGGGGGGAACCTATGTCTTTTGACTCTCCATTCCAAGTACCAGGACACAAATGGTACATAGTGTGGTGAAAGGTACATCAGGGCTGAAAATCACTTGGGGACACCCAACCACTATTCTTGGATTTCTGCACGTATGTGATCTCTAAAGATCCGGAGATATTGATGGGAGTGGGTACAGAATGAAAGGGCCCTGGGAAAATAAGCTTTGGGGTGTCCAGGGTCAAGTCGAAGTTCTCATCAGAGGACCAGGATGGTGGCAGCAGAAGGGAAATAGTGCAAGTGGTATTTTCTGGGAAGGGGCAGGGGTCCTGGACACAGTGACAGGTCATCTTCCTCTCTGGACCCTGCAAATCCTGGGGAGTGAGAGGGTCTGCGGATGTCTCAGACTTTGCTGAATTCTCAGAGTGTAGATTCTATGGGGGTGACTTCACCAAGACCATGACTAACATGGGAGACAGGTTCCTGTCTGCAGAGAAAGGAGAGGGCCCAGAGAGGCCAGGCATTGAGATCTGTTGGGGCAGAAGGTGTGTGGGTGGGGGCATATAGGATTTAAGATACTACAATCATCAGGTTTGGGTAAAGGGAAGAAATTGTGTTCCCTGAAAAGTTCAAGAGCATCATGAGCAGGACTTGGGTTTTAGGGTTTTTGGGAGAGGATTTAAGCTTGAGAGGAGTGCTCTTGAGGGATCTGGTTCCACTGACTCTGATTCTGCTCTTTTTAGGTCTAAAGGCCTGTGAGAAGAAGCCCAGCGTGTATCTTTGCAGCAATCACTGTTCATATTTTCTAAAGTGTCCAAAACCAAATACTGTATGTTGTTCAACCTTCTGTGGGAACGTTTGCATGAGCCTCCAGTGAGGGGGTGAGGGCGCTGGACTTTGCATTCTGCTCCCCCAAACTTCTATACAGATCAAAGCACAAGGACCTCAGATCCTGGGCACCAGGATGTCAACGGGAGTACACCTTTACCCTGTCTGAACTGTTTGTTCCTGTCAAATAAACCAGAACAAATGTCCACAGACCTGCCTATCTTACTCCCAGGGCTTATAGTCATTGAGGACCCAGTGCAGACCCCAGAGCGCTCCCTTCTCTGGGTCCAGGGCTCTGATCTCTCCCCCCTTGTGATGTTTCTTTATTTTCTCTCCCATTGGCCCCTGCTCCCCCACCAGGGCCCCGAGGCCCAGCCTCATTGTTGATCTGCTCATTGAACCAGTGACACCAGGGAAGAAACTGCTCATGTGTGGTACCTTCCAATGCTAACCAGAACACTCCTCAGCCTGGAGTCAGAAGGGCCAAGTTAAACATGAGGTGGGGTGGGGCTACACTCTGGGGCACAAAGTAGGAGGTCCCCAAGGAGGCTTCTTCTTAAATTTAATCCACCTCCATCCTGTTCTACCCATTCTCCTTGTGAGGTTCAGATTACCATATGTTTACAATATAGAAAACCAATCGCAGGGAGTTAAGTGACATGCTTGAGGCCAAAAGACAGTGAGAGGTCATGTTGTGGCTAGAGGAGGATGTTCGTCTGGACTCCCTGTTTGCTCACTGCTCCTCCATTATTGTGAGCACATGGGTGTGGAAGTGAGTGCCTACACTATTGTCTCCCACCCCATCCTCCATCAATATGGCCTCTTTTGTGATGGGGCACGGAATGGAGTCCCAGGACCTGAGACTCCAGTGTCTTCCATCAAATGAATGGTCCCCACCTTTCCCTAATCCTCCTCCTTATGGTCTCATTCTCTCTCTCTTTTAACCCAGAAAGAAGCCAGGTGGTGGGGAACAGGTGGTTCACGGTGATGCTACTAAGGATTAATTGGCCACTAAGGAGTCAGTATGAGTGTTGCCCATGGTCTCATGGTGAATCAGTGGAATTCTGTGCAAGCAGAGCTCCTCTGAGGTTGTTCTGGGACTAAATCCAGGGACTAGGTCACATGTGCCCAAAGGGGACTTGGAGTCAAGTGTGAAGAACTCAGGCAGGTAGGCAGGGCTTGCTGGAGGCAGATGTGCAGTGTTAAACTCCAGGGCAGTGCTTCCTGTGGGCATCAGTGAGGATTTCCCACAGAAGAAACCAGCATTCCTCAGGCCAGAGTCTATGGCCCACCTCAGAAGCATCCCAGGGCTCCTGGTATTGGAGGAGCTTCTCCACCTATCCTGGGAGCTGGGACTAGGAGACTGTAGGAAAGAGATCATTATCCATTAGCAGCACAGACATCATCAGATGTAGGTGGATGGTAAGGGCATGCCCTGCGGGAGATCTTAGCGGGTGCTTCCTCAGACAACCTGACTCTGCAAGCATCTTCCCAGTGCTTGGCCATGCCCCCGAACACCCTGGGAGAGACTATTAAGAGAGGCAAAGCTACCTGTCAGGGCCCACATAGAGAATGACCTCCACGTCCATGACCAGTGTTCCTTCCTATGTGGGTACACCATGCTGCCAGCTGACCTATTCCTTGCCACCAGTGTGAGCACCCCAGACCATGAATTCTACTGGAAGGATCTGGTTTTCTCCATTGTGATAACTCGTGTCTTGGCCTGTTCCCCAGAGCTCTCTGGACACTCCACATTGCCTCACTGCACCGAGAGGCCATGCCTAGACTGCTTTGGCTAGGAGGAGTGCTTGCCTGGCCAGCACTGCAAGTTCTGTGGTATGGGACAACTGTGTGCCCCTGTGGTAGATCAAGCGGAGGAGTGGGGACCCCTGCAAGACCCTGAATCTCATGGAGGCAGAGGAGGAAGCGAATGTAAATTGTGCCATGGCTTGGGTCTCCAGAAAGCCAAGTCCCAGCTGAGGAGAATCGTTGATCAGGCTGGTCTGTCTGTGAGAAACAATGGCCTTGCAGTTGCCCTGGCTTCTGCACCGTTCTCTTCTCATGCCCCAGACATGCTTTAGCAAATTTTTTCTTCGCAAGTTCTCATCACGGTAATTAGAAGTAGCTTTCTCATATGCATGGACTCAGCCACATGCCTTCACTATCTTAGTCAGGACTAAGTCATCTCCTTGGCCCTGTGACATGATAGAGGTTGAAGAGACTGATTACTTGATATCCCACAGGACATCATGCTGGTCTCTCAGGTCACTTACATTGTGCTAACTGACCATGGGGAAATAGTAGGTATCCTACATGCTTTATCACGTGCATGCCAGAGGATAAGACTTTCTATCTGGTGTATTTTCAGAGATCCACTGGTCTAGGTCATATGGAGACATTCTCTTGAGACAGGAGACAACTTCCTGCACCTTGTATTGTTCACCATGAAGCAAGAGAAAATGCATGGTGGGCCTCTGGGTTTTGGAGATGACAAATGTCACTTTTGGGCATTCTCTATTTCCTTGGGAAATATAAGGCTGCTAGTTTTTTTTAATTTTTTTATTTTTTCAGAGTTTCTTTCTTTCTTTCTTTCTTTCTTTCTTTCTTTCTTTCTTTATTTTTAACGTTTTATTTTTGAGACAGGGAGAGACAGAGCATGCACAGGGGAGGGTCAGAGAGAGGGAGACACAGAATCTGAAACAGGCTCCAGGCTCTGAGCTGCCAGCACAGAGCCCGATGCGGGGCTCGAACTCACGGACCGCGAGATCATGACCTGAGCTGAAGTCGGCCGCTTAACCAACTGAGCCACCCAGGCACCCCCAGAGTTTTTTTCTTTTTTAAGTCCAAGTTAGTCAACATATAGTATAATAATAATTTCAAGAATAGAACTTAGTGATTCATCACTTACATATAACACCCAGTGCTCATCCCAACCAATGCCTCCTTAATGCCCATTGCCCGTTTAGCCCATCCCCTTATCCAACACCCCACCAACAACCGTCAGTTTGTTCTCTGTATTTAAAAGTCTCTTATGGTTTGTCTCCCTCTCTGTTTTTATCCTATTTTTGCTTCCCTTCCCCTGTGTTCATCTGTTTTGTTTCTGAAATTCCACATATGAGTGAAATCATGTGATACTGGTCTTTCTCTGACTGACTTATTTTGCTTCGCATAATACACTCTAGTTCTATCCACATTGTTGCAAATGGCAAGATTTCATTCTTTTTGA